GGGGGGGGGGGGGGGAACCTCAATGTTTTCATCTGTGACATAAATATACCAAATCTGTGGCTTTCAGACTATCATAAAACGTGTCTAAAATGTATGAAATGACGTTTCGCAGACCCTAAAAATAAAACAATTTCCCGAACCATGCCCCAAAACGGCCGGACAATTAGATCTATAGTCAGACGTCATGGTCATGACGGTCCGTCAAAGTGAATACAGATGGTTAGCCACTTGGGATATAAGTCAATATTTCTCCCTGCTATAGGGGAGAAAGATTCAAATTTATGTAAACTAATTAAGTGGGATGGTATTGTCTGTACGTTACCATCCGTCAATTTAGGACGGTGACAGCAGTCTGATGGCGAACCAGCAAACACGCTTAATCGTTAAAGTGAGATCTCCAAAAAGTTGGAAATGTTGATTTTCTACTGTACATTCCCATTACATCTTATAACCCAGCATATTCGATCAAATACTTGATTGATATTCATCAGTAAAAATTTGATGTATACGTTAATAGATAAGAGACGTTTAATAGAGAGGAGCGTCTTTTACAAAATTGAAGATAATTTCCGGTACTAAAATATAAGGGACATATAAACTAGTAGGCGATGAACTGGAAAAGTACAAGCCAGTAGGGAGGTTTGGGGTATTTTAGGGCTGGGGATTGATTTCCTCTATTTTCAGGCACAATTATCCTTTGACAAACAGTATGCCACAGACTGAACATTCACCACAAAAGCTGAATATAAAGGCTTGGTTATGGGAATATTAGGTTGGGTTCAAGGCTTCGAGAATGGAAAAAAATACTAACCTGGAAGAAATCCAGGAACATCCACTAACGTTATTATAGGAATGTTGAAACAATCCAAGAATCTTACAAATCTTGCTCCCTTCACTGATGCATTGATGTCGAGACAGCCTAAGATTTTATAAGCTAAAAGTTAGCAGCACAAAAAAATGATCGAAAAATATCAGGATTTTGGTCATCTCATTCGATGGAACTAAATGTTGAAGGTTTTTCCATTTACAAAAACCTTCAAGATTTAGGACTAGGGTAGAAAATCTACTCAATGCCACCCTTTAGCTGTAGGCACGATTTTCCCGTTGGGAGAAAGAGAGCCTGTTGGCAGACCAGGAAAATCGCGATTACCTGCAGCTTCTAAAGGTTGATTTCCCACAATTCCAATAGTTCGACCATTAATTCTCGCAAAACCAATAACAATATTCTTCGCATAATTTGGACTGATTTCATAAAAATCACCTTCATCCACGATCTAAAACGTAATAAATTTTCATGTGACTTTTTGAAACTTTATTTAGCGTTAGAATATTGCGTATCATGTGCCAAAGCTAATGGAATGTAAATGACCGTAACTCATTGTTTCAGCTAAATTTACATTACAGTAGCTTCAGCAAATGAAACGTTGGACGTTTGAACTAGACCTCGAGGTAAAACGAAGATAATTATAATGAACTTTGAATTTTGTAATCACTTTAACCACTTTGTCTCAAAGTCGACAAGAATTAAACTATACAGTAATCAAAATACAAATTTAATAAATTACAAAGACATTACTCGGTAGTAATTTGTTGTAAAGGGCTGGTGCACTGTTTGTTATTCAGTTTGTAATTTTAGCTTGTGTTATATGTTTTCTTCATGACAAATACAGTATAAACTACATACATGAGTAATTACAGTCTTATAAACCATCACCGAATTCATTACGTAAAAACTGAACTTACATTAAAAATAACGTCCTTGATGTCATAAGGCTTTTCAGAATCAAATGGAACCAATGTGTCCAAACTGGGACAAAGACGATCTCTAAACACAAAGTGATGCATGAATTCATATTTAAATGTTAATTAATTTTTGATATAACAATCACAAACATGGTTAAAAACCGATATAACAATCACAAATATAGTTATAGGGTTTAAATTTTCTTAAAGTTTCAATAAGCTACATATCTGATTAATTTCACGACGAATTTAACGACTGCGTTATAACAAAATGTTTAGGGAGCATTAATTTTTTAGCTGGGTGGGCCGGAGGAACTGATGTCTAATTCCATGCGAAAACCTGGAACCCCCAAGACAAAAGTTGATAAAAAATTATGACCCCCTATTTTTTTTACTGAAAATTTTTTGACTCCTCATCCTAACTATTAATCCACACGGTGTCGTTTCCATAGCGTTTCAGGGCCGTAGGAAGCTCTTTTTTTATTGGGGGGCTGAAAGCGAGGGCCGAAGGCCCGAGGAAATTTTTAAATCAAGAGTCTCTGAAATGCCATTTCCTGGCCTTTGGGGGAAGATTTGACAGAATTCTGATGGTCAGAAAACAGCGTTTTAGTAATGTCAAAATTGACAATTTGGTAGTACTAAATGGGCGAAGGCGTATTTAATTAACTATATATTGGA